AGGCCTCCAAGTTCAGTTAAAAAAGATGACAAAAAGTCTGACAAGCCAGAGAAGAAAGACAGCAAAGATGCCAAGAAAGATGGCAAAGAAAAGAGTGACGATGGCTCTCAAGATCCAGCAAAGAAGAGTGAAGAAAGGAAACGGCCAGGTGAAGGAGTTTGTCTCGCAGAGCAGACAATATTAAAGTATTTGGGTCCATTACTTTTTAAGGGCAACAATACAGTGAGTAAGGATAGGGAAAGTCCAATGTAATGTGAAAATGCCTGTCCCGTGGGCTCCAATGCACTGCTGGCTCTCCAAATATCAACTTCTTGCAATCTTTGCTCGTCTTAGGACAGGCATGTATCTGTTAGTGATGCTGCAAGAATTGCGTGATCTACCCTTTTGAACATCACTTTCTCTTCTATCTAATCCATTCAATCTTGATTGTGGACATCTCAACACATCATGCAGTTTGGAAATGGATACCTATTGCATTTGTTAAACAATTTCTTTGATTATAGTTTGAAAGTCTTTTCATATTATACATTAAGAAAAGGAAAGTACAAATCACTAAATACTTAATCCAAAGTTTTTTAAACTGATCCTCAGGCAAAATAAACAAAATCATTTCAATTTATTAATAACCATAAAGGGTTCACCCAGTTTCCATGCACCTTTGCAAATTCAACCTTTGCAAACTAAGATACCATGTAAGAGTAGCAGTAAAATCTTAACTTTGCTGCACACAACTTGTGCAGATCTGTGGGTGGGACCCTACAAAAGGGTGTGTGTGGGGCAGATACAAGACCAGTCAACCTGCACAAGGAGAGAACAGTGATTGGTCTTTATTAAAGGAAGCTCCTTCTCGGAGGCAGTTTCTGGCTGGGTTACTGTACAGGTCTGGAACAAATACACAAAGCTGCAGATATTCATGTAGGAAGACATGTCTGTGTTAAGACAATATTTGCTTATTCCAGCCAAGTAATGCTTTAATATATCTTTTGGAGCTAGCCAATTATGTTTTGTATAAGTTTTCTATTCTTTTTGTTGCTGTTGAAAGCATGTTCTTGAGTGTGTTTCGGCAGTTGGCCGCCGGCAGTATCTGCAGCTAAGCTAGTTCATTGATTTGATAAGTTAGAAGCTCCAAATTTCAAATAGTTTAACAAAAAGAGATCTGCATGTGGAGAAAACGTGACTGAGTCACAAATATTAGAATTCAACTAAAGGTTAATTTTTATAGTTTATGCAGGTATTTTATTCTGGTTACTATGCCATGCACAAATCTCAAAGTAAAGCCAAATCCTGCTTTGTGTCTCACATGCTTTCCCTCCTGAACACTGCAGCTCACAGTGGGAAGGGATTTAGCAGAGAGGTATTGCTACCAGTCCAGAAATCAGTGGGCATTACTGCAAATGGCACAAACGTTTGTGATTTAGTTTACAATTGATGGCTCCCTCACTGCTGTAAATTTCAGATTTGTATCTATCCTGCAGTACCATCAGGGGAGGTCCCAGTGTCATTCTTCAGCATGACCGTTATACCAAATGCACACCTAAAATCGTAAACTATTTTTCGCTTGAAGGACATAAAAACATTCAGATGGTAAAGTAATTGGCTTCCACATTGCCCTGTTCTCTAACAACTTCAAGCCAGTCTTGAGGTGCCCATACACCTTACGATTATCGTACGATAATCGTATGCGATCGACTTTTCGTACGACAATCGTAACGTGTGAATAGAGTGCCCGACCGATAGTACTGTACAATCGTACGACTTTTGACGGTCAAGCATGTTTGAAAACTTTGGTTGATCGTACGATGTTCGCATGGTTGGTGGCATTTCCGTCCGTCAAAAGTCGTACGATTAACACTGCGCATGCGCAAACGAAAATAATTGCGGTCCATTACCGCAAGTCGTCCAGGTGTTTTTTTCTAACTACCGCTGATTGAACCTTGCGATAATCGGGGCAGGATGGGGCCGTCGTACGAAAATCGTACGACGGTTCGATCATCGGACGAAAAGTTTCGTCCGATAATCGTAAGGTGTATGGGCACCTTTAGATTGCTTACAGAGACCGTAGGAATCAAGCCTGCTGTGTACCTGGCAGGTTTTGGAAGAGGCTTGGGACCAACCTATTTGAATACTACTTGCAAGTGTATAAAAGTGAATTGCTGTCCCGTGAAAGGCTAAAGGCGCCAAATATTGACTTAGTTTTCTTCCGGTTACTACACTTTGTAGGACGTACATGATTTATCGAAATTTCTGAACAGCATTTTGTTTGGGTTTTTTTTTTTTTTTTTGGGGTGCATGAAACCTTTCCATTGTACTGCAGATAGACCATCAAGTATACCACAGTCTGTTCTACCTAGTTTGACATGTCTGTGACATGGCATGTTTTCCATGATGGAAATATTTATACGGTGGGAGATCAGTTTGATGGGTTCCCTACAAGGGATTGATACAAGACTGGATTGCCTGCATCACTCTTGCAGGTCTCCAAGCTTCTAGCTTTGTGAAGGTGGAACTACAGGCAAACAACTAAATACAGTTTAAAAAACTACGTTTCTCTGTCGTCCATTGATTGACAGTTTGATAGGAGGAAAACCTGTGCGGCAATGTAACCTTGGTTTCTTGCTATCCAACTCAGTGGAATCAAAGAAAAGGGTTTTACTGTGAGTACAAATCCTATTTAGAGCCACCAGCCAGAGGATTTAAAGCACCTGTTTGGTTAAAGCAGTGCTTTAAATTTGGGTAATGGTATGCAAGATGTAAAACCGCTAATTAATGTTTCACTATGTAGTTTATCCATTCTTCTGGTGTCTGACATAAAGCAATAAATCCACATTACAAAAGTCCTTTTTTTTTTAAAAATGTTTTATTCTTTTAATTCACTTTACAGGTAAAAGTCCTGGACAGATGGTAGTAATAGATCAAACTAAAGGAGATCAAATGCATATGAGACCACCAATGAGACGAGGTCGTTTTGATAAGGTAAGCAATTATCACACTTCTGTATACCTTTTTATTAATAGCCCTGTATGGTCTTTTTTATTTTGTCCATATGAGGTTTTGATACCCTTATGTTCTTTAGCAAAGACCATTAATGTTGGAAATAGTGATTTTTTTTTTTTTTTTTATATTGTATCTGAACACAAATGCAACAATGTAATATATTGCAGCTTACCAATTTTTGGATGTAGTGGCTGCATTTGTTTTTCTGGTCTTTTTTTCCTTTATTATCGCCTAGAGATCAGGCCAGTAAGTCTGTTATTTTTATACTTCCTTTAACAGACCAAACTAGCCGACAAAATTGGCAAATAGAAAATTGAGACAAGCTATTTATTTATATAAAACATTTATCCTAAAAGGAAAACAGAAAACTGCTAGAACAGCTTAACAATTAGCTGCATTTTGGATTTAATTTGTAGGTCAAGTCCATCTAAATCTGCTAGTTCGTCTATAGTACTGTACTATGGACTGTACAGTACTATGGATCATGATTAACCTAATCATGTTATCAGGGGCGTAACTAGAAATCACAGGGCCCCATAGGAAAAGTATCGGTAATTGGTATCGGCAAGTACATGAGGGCCAGTACTTGGACTTGGACTTAAAGTGGCATCGGGACATCCCTAGCGTGGGGGCCGCTACTATATACGGTACCAGTGTTAATGTCTGCATATGTTACAAGCGGCAACTGCCACCCATTCAAATTAATGATTGGGAGACAGCTGCTGCATGTAAAGGCCTGCACACCGCATGTAATCATATGTGATCGGATTACATGCAGTTAGTAATCTGTCACTATCAGTGGTTACACAATTGTTTATCCAGGGATTCCCGGGTGATCTAGCGGTGATCATTATTAAGGTTTGGACTAGACCTTACTAATGATCCATCATTCGGCCGGAACTCAGAACTGGCAGAGCTTCGGCGGGAGCTGACAGGAGCAGCTCTGTGGTCTGTATCCGTAGGAGATGCAGACCGTGTAGCTGCTCCCGCAAGTCAGGCCCGTGACCGTGTGCCCGACTTGTCAGCTGGCTGCGGGCCACTTAGTACTGGCTCGCGGGCCAGAACTTTGAGACCGCTGGTCTAACACTATACTCTGCATAGGGTGACAATGCTACTGTCCATGGGTGGCTCCGTTACTCCTCCATGGACTGGAGCCACCCTAAGACAGGAAGTGTTACTCGCTGGAATATCCTGTGAAAAAAGAAAACAAATGCATCCACCACATTTAATTACTGGCAAGCTGCAATTTACTACATTGTTGGTTTTAGATTCACTTTCAAGACATACAATTGCCATTATTGGGGAAAGGGTACAGACTTGCTGCCTGGAAGCATAGTTTTTGTTTTGTTTTATCTGCAGGCCTTGCTATAGCAAAACATCTCCACTTTAGTAGACTATGTTGGGTGATCCAGACCACCAGCTGCCCACTCTTCAGACTGTCTTGGTCTATCTCCATATTACCTCAGCCGCACACCTAAGCACTTCTCTCTTGGGGCCTGTAATAAATACACTGCTCCTGCAGCCCCTGCTCAGTAGCTACATGTAGACTGAGGATTGAAACAGAATTAACTTCTTAAACCCAGCATAAGGTTGCCATGGCTCCTGACTTGAAGGACCGTTTTTAAAAAGTAAACCATTTATAAAATAACAATAATTCAAAAGATTGTGCAGAAAATCGTAAACTGAGAAGACAAATCTAAGAAAATCGGGATTGCCAACACTTTCTCCACAAAGCAATCTAGGTGGCCTGCTGTCCTGTAATGGACACCACAGGTAGCAATCTTTAAATAAACTGCATCCCCTGGCTCCCTTCAATCTAATTTTTCCAGGCTTTTGCCGTATCTCAGCCATAATGCTGCAGAGGGGTGTTACATTTTGCCAGCTTTTATGGTTAAAAAAGGAGAAAGCTGTTTCAGGCACCAGGACTGTTAGAATTGTACATCTCAGAACAGTTTAAAGAATATCTGTGTAATATCTGCTTTACACAGTGACTTCAGGCAGTTGGCTGCTACAATCCTGGAGAAGATTGCAACGTTTAACATTTTACTGGCTTGTTCTCCTGGTAATTCTGTGATCCACCTAGGTCTGGGGAAAACAATTTCTACAGGTTTAGTTCTTTATGTTACAGAGTAAAACTAAACCCATAAAGGCATTAATAACCAGTGTGCTGTAACATCACTGACCTCTGATAGTTCTGTTGTCAGTTTCTTTATCAATGTGTAGTAGATAAGGATGTAACTGCATAGCTCTTTGTTTTTTTATTTATTTACTTTATGCATGTTGTGTTTTGTCACATTTTAAATCCATTGTTACTCTTCTTTGCTTTTCAGACCAGGAATAGAGAGAGGTTTTTCCAGAACAAAATGAAGTTCCGGGACAAAAAAGACATCATGACATTTGAAAAAATGAAAGCACAAAAACTCCGAGAAAATGTTGAACGTCTGCAGCGATTACAGAGATATCACAGAGCTGTGGAACTGCGAAGTCATCTGGCCGTTCACAAACGGCCATGGACGTAAGGTAGTTAAGTTGTTCTTCGTACTGCAAGAGTAGAGGTTTAATCTGGCCTTTGCCTTTTTTCTGACCCATGTATTTTAATATGAACCTGAACTAAAGAAAAAAAAAAGATTTGCTATATCATTGTGAACATTTATAAATGCTGATTGTAGTAAGTTTTATTAAAGGCTCAGATGCCTAGCAAAGTATTGCTTAACCTTCTTTTTCCCCAAGCACTTGGTCATAATGTTTTCAAACAGCTGACTCCAACTCTCTCGGCTTCCCTGAACTTCCTATTTAGTACATGATCATAAGGGACAGAGCTGTCAATCTACCAGCTTGCAGGGTGGTGAAGGAAAAATGGGAATGGCTTTCCTTGCTTTGTTTGTGGAGACACAAGGGTGGCTCCCTAGGAACCTTTCAAGGGAAAGGTGTCACCCTAAAACAGGATATTAGAGCCAATGCTTACGTGTCAGCTGATTCTGCAGGAAACTTAAACATGTTTAAACCACAATAAGCTGCATCCATTGCAAGTGATTTAATCAGCATTTGAAATGGCTTCAAAAACGTTTGACTTTCATATCACTTTAAGCAGTACCCTAAAAAGTTACCATTTTCCAAGTCAATATTGAAATGTAAGCAGTTAAAGTCCAGTGTATACATCTTGAAATGCTAAAAGTTAACAAACTGAAAAATAATGTACATTTCAGCGTTATACAGAGAGGCCATTTTTCATGGAAGTAGTAATTCACAGTTCTGCAGCAATGTAAGCAATTAAGCCTTTGAAAGTTTATGGTAACGATTCCTGCAGGTGTCCAAACTTTTGTTTACTTACAAGCTCTTTCTATAAAAGGTGTGTTGGGATAGATTGTTAATACACATTATTAAGCAATTCTTGGACAGTTTTGTACTGCAGGTAGTAGTAGTATATTGCTCCCAAAGTGGCGATAAAAAGGCAATTAATTATAGAAGACATGCCTTTATAAACCTTAAAAGTGTAGCACTTTTCTGCAGAGAAATTGCAATAGAAAGCAAAGTTGTCAGTGAGTACAGTTTCCTACAACATCACAAGGCACATGGAAACTGATAGAGGTCTGGCAGACCCAAAGCCACAATAGAATCAGTCAACAGCTTGCGTGACAGGCGGCTCCCAGGGCAACAGCTTTAAGCACAGCCTAACACTGGTGGAAGTAAGCAAGTCTCTGTTTCAACTGTGAAGAGAAGACTTTGAGCTGCAGGTTTGACAGGTCAAGTAGCTGTATGTATACCATTGCTAAGATGGCTAATTAAGAAAGAGGCTAGTCTGGGCCATGAAGCACCGCCAGTGGACTCCTGAAGACTGGACGCTAGTCTTATGGACCGATGAATCAAAATTTGCGATCTTCAGTTCATTACGCAAGGCGCTTGTACGCCGTCGAGTAGGATGGTTTCTTGGTGTGTGACGTCAACTGTCAAACATGGAGGTGGAAGCGTGATGATCTGGGTGCAGAGTCTGCGACTTGCACAGAGTGAGTTGCACCCGGAACCTAAACTACTACCACAGCATTTTGCAGCGCCATCAATACCCTCTGGTTTACGCCTAGTTGGTCAAGTGTTCATCCTTTTAGCAAGAGAATGACCCAAAACATACCTCCAGGCTGTGTCAGAACTACCTTAGAAGAAAAGAACAAGATGGTAGGCTTCAACTCATGAAATGGCCAGCACAGTCTCCAGACTTAAACCCCATCAAGCTGGTTTGTGATGAACGGGACGGAAGTGTGAAAGCTAAACAACCTACAAGTGCAACACATCTGTGGGAACTTCTGCAACAGTGTTGGGAAGAACTTTTCGAACAATATTTGTTTTCCGTTGTAGAAAGAATGCCACGAGTGTGTTCAACTGTTATATCTGCTAAAGGTGGCTACTTTGATGAGTCAATCATTTAGATTACATTTTATTAAAGGAAACTATTTTTAGGATGACACCTTTTGTCTGTAACATCAAACATTAAATGTATACTTTTTTAAGACGCAGGGAAATGGCAGAGAGAGAGCGGCGGGAAAGGGAGCGTGTACGAATAATGCGTGAACGTGAAGAGCTTGACCACCTACAAAGGGAACGCGAAAGACTAGAAATAGAACGACAAAAGCTGGAACGTGAGCGAATGGAGCGTGAACGCCTGGAAAGAGAACGTATTCGAATTGAGCAGGTAAGTGCGTTTCCCCCCAGGATTTCATAGGTCTGAGACTTCTAGAAAGGCCTTTTTTTTTCTTCTCCATGATCAGAACATGTGGCCTAGCTTAACTTGTGAGAACATGTGGCCTGGCTTAACTTGGGAGAGCATGTGGCCTGGCTTAACTTGGGAGAGCATGTGGCCTGGCTTAACTTGGGAGAGCATGTGGCCTGGCTTAACTTGGGAGAGCATGTGGCCTGGCTTAACTTGGGAGAGCATGTGGCCTGGCTTAACTTGGGAGAGCATGTGGCCTGGCTTAACTTGGGAGAGCATGTGGCCTGGCTTAACTTGCCAAAACGAGGATTTGTCACAATGCACATATTTCTGTAGTGTCTGATGAGGAAGCTATGATTCCCAACCTCATGCACTACATGCTAGCCTAATACATTTAAACCCCTTCAGTCACTGTAGAAATGAAAGGCCTTATATTGTAGTAGCACATATACTGCCTACTATGGTTTAAAGCAAAATGTTCTTGACACATGGGGTTGCGATTGCCAATCCCCCTCTGTAGATTCTTGCCTGGCTTGTACACTGACAGCTATGTTTTTACTAAAGTTTGAATTGGTGACCTAGAACAAGTATGCATTTCTGTAAAGTTAAATATAGTTGTGTGCATGCTTGTTCCAAGTAAGGGACACAAAATATTAAAGCAAGAAGATATGCAGCCCTGATACTAGCGTTTTCTAAACTAGCAGTCTCCATGTTTTTGAGATTTTCTTTAAAGAAAACTGTCACTCAGGAACTGTCTGGCCTTCTATTGTTCATCTTGTGTTCTGGTTTAGAAATGTATGATTACTCACCTCAAACAGTTACGTTGATATAGAGTTCTGATTCCACTTGCTGCGTTATTTTCAGCATAGTTAGGTCTTGTTAAGGTTCAGAATTGAAGCCAGAGGATTAGCAGAGACTAGTGTTTTTCATGACGGGTGAACAATGATACCTCATGCTGATTACTAAGGCTTTGGATGCACATGCAATATTCTATCCTTAGTGGAAGAATTCTGTTAATCAGGTGTCTGATAAACTATTCTTTACATGCGCATGCTTACCAAACACTTGCTGCTGTGACGTGCCATGTGTATAAATTTAGAAGTTCTATGATTGTAGTGACCCCAATGTGATAGACATAAGACCTGCCATTAATGAATCTGCAGGTATTTGCATGTATCAGTTTGATGCAGGTCTCATAACAGAATGACTTCTACTATACAAGAGTTTACATACACCTTTTGTTTATGGTTGTCATTATAGTAGGCCCCATATTGTGCATGTGTAAGTAACTTAAATGCACAAACAATTATTTGAGAATGTTGGAGCTCTTTTTTAACACCTTTTCCTGCAGTGTTTGCCCCTTTTTTTTTCGTGTGTGTGCTTTTGAAATAATGCAACATTTTTTAACACCTTGTACTCTGCAGGAAAGGCGAAAAGAAGCTGAGCGCATTGCTCGTGAAAGGGAGGAACTGAGACGACAGCAAGAGCAACTTCGGTTTGAACAGGAGAAGAGAAACTCATTAAAACGGCCTCGTGATGTTGACCACAGGTATGTCAAAAAGCATGACAATGGGGTTATCAAATCGAGAATGCATGGGGCAAGGAAAGATGATCCATGGTTTAATCTGAAAATAACCACCCAGTGCAAAATAATCAAGCCCCCCCTCCCTCCTAATACACCTCTCATTGCAGTCTCTGTAGACAAGCACACTCAAAACCACGGTCAGTCTAGGTAGTATATACCTGGTGCAAAATGAAGCCGCGTGTTTATTTTTTGAGTGATGGACTTATTTTATATGATTCCTCTAGGAGAGATGATTCCTTTTGGAGTGAGAACAAGAAGATGGCAATGGATACAGACTCTCGCTTCAGCCAAGGATCTGACTACAACCGCCAGCAAAATAGGTTTAATGACTTTGACCATAGAGAGCGGGGTCGTTATCCAGAATCTTCTTCAGCATCATCTTTTGAAAGGTAACAATATATTGAAAAAGCATGACACTACCATAAGATGTACCCTTTAATGAAATATGTACAGGGTACTTTAGGTAAATGTGTTGCTTTATTGCAGTGTTTACTTTACAATTGATATTATTTTTTACATGTTTGTTCTTTGTCTTGCCTCTTTAAATATAGATATTTCTAGATTTTCCACTGTAGAGGTAACCAACCCTCTCTGCTTTAATGGTAGTTGTGATATCAGCCACATAGTTTTCAGCGGACCCCAGATGCATAGGCTTTTATTGTGGGCAATACCAGTAAAGCTTAGTGACACTAAACTCAGGAGTTTAAATCTTAAAAATGCATTTAAGTCCCTTAACTATTCAAAACAATGTATTTTGTGTATCACTCGGGTGGGGATCCTCAAATCATCTCTGAATTCATGCTGACACCGTCCTTCCTTCTGGAGGCTGCCTGCGTTTGTTCCCCATTGTCCCTGCGCGAGCTTGGACTGGTGACTACTTTACATCACACACAGGGACCATGGGGAACAAATGTACATTTTTGTTAATGGTTAAGGTATTTGAATGCATTTTTAAGATTTCACTCCTAAGTTTAGTGTCGATTTTAAACATTCACTGCAAAGCAGGAAGCAGAGCCTGCAGCTGTAACAAGCAAGTATGGCTGCCTGCGTGTATTTATGCAATTACTGAACCTAGAAACAATATTTTTAACATTTCTAACACTTTTCTATAAGATTTACACAAGTTAAGAAATCAAGAAAAAAAATAATCCAATAAGGCTGTACATTTAATTAGCTGAGTGACTAGGGAAAATATACCTAAACTCGCTGTGCAGCACATTTATGAAATAATTCCTAATGGTTATGGAGAAATGCTGGTTTTGGTGCCTTTTTTAGGGTTGGGTTTAGGTTAACAAAAGGCTTTTTTTTTTTTTTTTTTAAATACATTTTTATAACTAAATTGTGTACATTTTTGTTAATGGTTAAGGTATTTGAATGCATTTTTAAGATTTCACTCCTAAGTTTAGTGTCGATTTTAAACATTCACTGCAAAGCAGGAAGCAGAGCCTGCAGCTGTAACAAGCAAGTATGGCTGCCTGCGTGTATTTATGCAATTACTGAACCTAGAAACAATATTTTTAACATTTCTAACACTTTTCTATAAGATTTACACAAGTTAAGAAATCAAGAAAAAAAATAATCCAATAAGGCTGTACATTTAATTAGCTGAGTGACTAGGGAAAATATACCTAAACTCGCTGTGCAGCACATTTATGAAATAATTCCTAATGGTTATGGAGAAATGCTGGTTTTGGTGCCTTTTTTAGGGTTGGGTTTAGGTTAAAAAAAGGCTTTTTTTTTTTTTTTTTTAAATACATTTTTATAACTAAATTGATAATTTATTTGGCAGACGTGACCGATTTGTATCACCAGAAGGCAAAAAGGGTTTTAACAAAAACTTTGGTGATTCACGAAGAAATTATGCAGCACCACCTCCTCGAAATGAACCACGAGACACAGACAGGAGAGATCGGGATGAAAGACGACCTGTGGGAATGGAAAGAGCAGCAGGTAGTAGACCTGATGGCCAAAGCCATGAGCGAGGCAGAATGAACAATCCAGATATTCAGCATGCCCGCCACCCGAGAGACCCTCCAGGAAACCCACCACGTTCATCTAGTTGGAAGGAAGGGGCAATGCCCCCAGACAAGCGAGATACAAGGTACTTGTATTTTATTTATTTTTTTCAGCATTGCTGTAGATGTATTTCTCAATAGTTCCTCAGCAGTGGTTTAAAATGGACTGTACAGTGTCCACATAACTTGTTTTCCGCTTGAGGAGCACACTGAAACCTTTCAGATACTGTACCACACATTGTTTGAAAACTTGTATTTACCTTTAAGAAAGAACCAACTTTGATAAAGGAATATTCTGTCTTTCTAACAGGCCAGGCAGAGATGGCCCTGGCCATTCTTCCAGAGGTGGTCATGGCAGTCGCGGTGGTAAATCAGGCTACAGTGGAAGAGATGGTGACCGTCCAGTCATGGCAGGGGATCGTGGAAGTGGACAAGTAAGTTACTTTGGAATCCCTTAGGGACTTGGGGTCTCATGTGTGGAAAAGAGTAGCATTTTCCTACTTGCGTAGTCCTGTAGTTGATTTTTCCTTACAGTTTCAAATGTTAAGGTTGTCAGTGGCAGCCTACTTCTATTTTAGGACAGGTTTACTTGCCCAATTGGCAGCAAAACTTAGAGTTACGGTCCCAGAGCATGTTTTTAGATCATTAGTTAGAAGTCCTGCTATGTTTACTTATTGGAGGGCATTGACGCAAATTTTCTTTGGGATGGCAATACACGTTCCTTCCAAGGTCCAAATGTAAAATGCCCCTTGCCATTACAATGTTAACCTTGCAGCAGGAAAGCATAAAAAACTGTTCTTCAGACCCTCTCTCAAACGGAGGAGTTTTTCAGAGTTCTTGCCAAGTTACTGGACACTGCTAAACTTGGTCTGCATGGCTAAGCTTCCAGACTGCATTCATGCTCACAGATAGGGCTCAGCAGTTGCATCCTAGATACTTTGTTCAGAGGTTTCTTTTAAATACAAGTCTTTTTTAATTGGATTATCATATTGTTGCCAAATTTGTGCTTTGCCTGAAGCTGAGCTCTGTGCGAAATAGTGTTAAATATAAGTTAACTCATTCACTTAAAAATGATTGTTTGCAAGTTCTATTAGCTGAACATTGCCTTTATAGTAAAGCAAACATGTCACCCATTTTATACTTGCAAAAAGTAGTAGTTCTGCCTAAGAGCAGCTACCTCAAAGTGCCTTCCACACCTTTTATAACCAAAAACGTACCCGCTATCACTTCTTAAATAGTTTCACTTTGTTACAGATGCCTGAGTTCTGGCCTAAGCCCAGCCAAATGCCATTTCCCTGTCCATTGGCCATTGAAGCATTCTTATTTGATAGAGGGTTGGCCTATTGATAAGTTAAGTCTGGAAGTCGGGTCCTTGGAAACAAAGAAAGTAATTTGGCAACCACACAAGCGTTTCCATCCTAACATGCAAAGGCAGGAACCATGTGGTGTCTGTCCTCAGATGTGACTCTTAATACTACTATCTTTTAAATGTTAACCCCTTAGTGACGGCTTCAAAAAAATTTTTTGTTCCTGGGTACCGGAGCAATTTTGCCATTGTTGCAATGTGTGTGTTTAACCGTAATTGTAATCTTCCTCATTCATTGCACCTAGTCGTATATACTGTTTTTTTATGTGATAGCAGTCAAAGTAAAGTAAAAAAAAAAAAGTTTTTTAAAATAAATCTAATAACAAAAAATGTTAGTCCCCTGCCCACATGAGCACCCGCGTCGCCACGTAAACACGCGTCGGGTGCGCCTACGTATGAAAACGAGGAACGCGCTACACATGTTGGGTATCGCCGCGCACGCCAGAGTGAGAGCAATAATTCTAGGGCCAGTATTTTGGGGTATCTCTAAATTGATGACCTGTGGGGGCTTTTAAAGCGTCTTCTATTGACTTTTTGGGGTACTGCAGTTTTTCGCCGTTTCACGGACGCACGCAATTTGTAACCTATGCATGTTGGGTATCGTTTTACTCGTTGTAACCTCATCTTTTATATGTCATTTAAAAAATTGGTATTTTGTTGTGTTTTGGGGCATTAAATTAAATTTTTCACTAAATGTTGGTGTTTAATAAGGAGTTGCGCTAATATTGCGCAACATAAAAATTTGCAACTACCACCATTTTATTCTATAGGGTCTTGGCATTCAGAAAATATATAATGTTGGGGGGTTTTAAGTCATTTTCAGGCCTAAAATGTGGAATATAATATGGGTGCAAAAAATTTAAAAAAAGGCCTCAGTCATGAAGGGGTTAACTGCCAAAATGGGCTTTAATTTGATGTGACACATGCCGTTATAAGTTCCTATTTTTTATATTAAAAAAAACGAAACAATGCAAAAGTGAAATAAACATTTAACTTTTTTTTGGCAATAATAATGTGTATGTAATTAGTGTAGATAACAAAGTAAGTTTTAATATTTTTAATTGTCCTGATTTTATATGGTATATCATATGTCTGGGATTTCAGTTTATTTTGTGAGTTATAGGTCACAAAATACAAGGATTGAAAACAATTTTAGAATGTGGTAGCCGCCTCGGCACTATATTTTCTTTTAGTTTTCTTTATTCAATGTATTAACTTTTGACTTTTTTTTTTTAAACGTATTTTTTCATTTTATTTTTTGTTAAACTAGGGGACACTAAGGGGGTATATGTGTGCACCTAACCTGCTGTTGAGGGTCTGACTCAGACCCCGAGGGACCCAGCAACAGCAGCAATTTAATGAGTGCTGGTCCCTCCACGGATCAGTGCTCATTATACCGCATGACGGCATTATCACCGGCCGTTAATTAACTGGTCGTGAGGGTATAATCCCATGATTGGTCGTGAAGGGGTTAATGAACTTTTTATTATTGTGCAAAAAGTGAGAACAGTGGATAACAGTGTGGGAAGGGAGACTAATACAGTAATGATAGCATCCATTAAACAAAGGAATTCCCCCAAAACCCCAATTTATATATTTATTATGCCTGTCTTTGCATCACTTGAGAACATTTAAAGGACCTTTTCCATTACACCTTCCTTGCAAAAATACCCGCTGATATTGTGATGTCTGACTGGTACACTGAATGAGACTGGCTGCTTTCTGATAGCAGATGCAATTTTTTTCAAAGTAATAATATATGTTTGGTGCTTGTTTTAATAAAGCACTATAATGAAGGCAGACACATGGCCCCAGGAAGGGATAATACTGGTCCAAGAAAGGAATGGCATGGTCCCAACACACAAGGGAGTGGATATGACAACAGAAGAATGTCAGATGGTCGCAGTGGAGGCATGATGTCGTCACATTCTGGGTATGGCAGTTTCTTTATTTCCACTGATGCTTTTTTAGATGTCAGAAGAGTTTATTTCATCCTTATAGTTACTGTTTTAATAGTATCTGCACATTTAAGAAACAAAATGAGTACATGGTAACAAGAGGAGGGGTTAGGGTACACATCTGGACTTCATTAGTGATTCATGAAGTTTACTTGGTGGTTTAATTATGTCTCTGGTTGGGCAGATCTCTATTATGACGAGGAATAAAATATCTTCCTGCCTCAACCAGGTTTACTGGGCCAACCTTGACTTTTCTTTGACTCTGAAGTCCTTATCAAATATTTGACATTAAGATTGACCTTTTATAAATATACACATGCCTGCTGTCACTATAACTCCTTTTTAAAGGTTTTAGATTGCATGACGTTTGGTTAGTTTTTATAGGAAATCATAATGTGTACATGCAGCCTGAACCTAGCTTAGGTGGGTGCTAGCGGTAAGGGGACAACTAGAGAACGCGGGAAGAAAAAGTGAATTTAAGTCCCCCTGGGACTCATTATAAAAAGAATGAAGGTTTTATCACTTTATTGGCTCCTAAATTGCTCTGAAAAGTCAGATTTATTGTTTTGTGTACACAAACCACTAATTTTGCTGTCTTGTTCTTTTCTCCTCTAGTAATTCAGCCATCAACAGAGTTGTACCAATGTCGGGTGGGTCCATGCAGCGTGGAAGTGGCTCTGGATTCAAGCCGTTTAAGGGAGCACCCCAAAGGAGATACTAAGTCTTCGGCTGCCTGTATTTTGGAATAACTTATTCTTTTTCTTGTAAACCTTTCTAAATTTGACAAGGGTTTTCATATTTTGTTTTTTACCATTTTAATTCTTTGTTTTATGATGGACTTTTAATGGTATAGTGAAGTTGTTCCTTGGTCAAACAGTCCTGGGAAATAACTAATAACAGTATTTGGATCCAAATGTTAAGAATCTTTTTTTTTTTTTTTTGTTTTGTTCTAAAATAGCATGGACAGGCTTTACAGTGCAAATAAACCTTTGGCCAGCACATCTGACATTGTAATGCTTGGATGGATTCAAATACGTTCCAGAGCGGAGCTTGTACAAGTGTTTATAGCTTCTTTTATGTGGAGGGAATGCAAAGTCTCGGCACAATCTTTTCTCCTGCTCAAGGCTTCAAACAATGTAACACTTTTTTTGACTGAATAAAATGAGTGAATGTTTGCAAAAGTTGGTTGTGGATGTTGATGGACACAAAGCCACCTTTCTGCTACATGAGCCTGATTTGAAGAGCCCCATGATAAGTAATCCAAATATTTAGGAGTAAAGCGGTTTTGTCAGGTAACCATTCATAAGATGGAATGCAGCCTGAGTAAGTTATTTGAATAATAAAAAGAACTGGGCTTATATACTGGAGCAATATTTACTAATGTAGACATTTCTTTCCCTCAATCAGCTTTTGAAAATGGTCTGCGATGAAATAGATATTATCTGGTTACAGAGATTCTTTTTTAAGATGTAGTATAGTTTTTTTCCCCCTCCTTTACCTTTTTGCGCTTAAACACCTTTTAAGTCTCCAATACTGTAGAATATTTTTTGCACTTGTCTGGAATGTAAAGTTACACTGTGCTGTGATGTGAAACCTGGCCATGATTTGGTTTTTTTTCTCAATGTCTTGTACACTTTTAGGTGGTATAAAAATAAAGCTGGTTTATCAGTTTTACATGTAGTTTTGTTTAATTGTAAATATAGTGTTTTTGTGTTTATATAAATATTTTCCAAACAATCCAGATTTCTCACATTTTACAAAAAAACATGATGAAGACATTACATTAATTCCTTCTAAATCTCTATATTGTGCCTGTTATCCATGGCCCAGTCATCTCTGCACAGGACCGACCTAATCAATTTCACCCCATTAAAGTGAGTTACTCAAGTTATAATTACCTTTTTGTTATTAACTACCTTTTAATTTAACTTCATTAGTGTTTCCATTTCTTTATACTGTGATGATGTGATAAATTACAATTAAATATACCCAATTCCATCCTTGACACATACATATCTAAGTAGCTATAAGTGACCTAAAAGTGGTTAAAAAAAAGTATTATTAATCAAAATGTTTAACAATAAAACGGGGAAGGGAAGGTATATGCACAATA